TATATTATTAGATATATTATTATAAAACATGTTTTAGTTAAAGAGTTATTGATACTTTAAGTGCAAAATAATGATATAAAACCTTGATAAAAATACACTTTTAAGTACTAATCATATAGTCATTTATACATAAAGCTAAAACCTGTTAGTATTTTAATGTGGATTGTAAACAATGCAATCGATAGTAAAACAACTATTTTGCCGTTAAAAAACAAGAGGATTGAAGACACACTCAAGCCTAAAATAATATTTTCACACTTTATTGCATGTTATAATTACTCTCATGCCTTTGAAAAAACAACAACATAGCTTATAAATGAGGGGTTTTTTTTTGTGATTCTCATATTTTTTTGTATTGTTTAATTAGAGAGTAGCCCTTACGGTCAACTTTTTTGTCTTGAGGTCAAAGGGTATTTTTGGTTTTGATAAATAGAAATATTTGGTGCATGTGCTAGGTCATTTCCCTTTGGGCGACATGTGCAGCGCCTCTCAATTAGCTCTCATTGCCTTCCAGGGTGGCATCCTTAGCATCACTCCATTGCATGATGGAGTTTTGACAATAACTTTTCTCCTTCTTCTTCTTTTTTTCTCTTTGCTCCACCTCAAAAGGTGTGCTAGTCTTGTAAAGTTATAGACTGATCCTAAATCTTTTAATTATATTAAATTAAATTTATTTATTTTTGAATTTCATTGCTTTGTATTTAATTTTTTATATTTTTTTTATCAAGTTTGATCCTTGTTATTTTGATTTCTAATTTTTTGCTTTTAATCTTTTTTTCTTATTAGATTTAATCCTTTGATTTAATCCCTAATCATTTGATTTTAATTCCTTTTTTTTTCGTTGAATTTAATCCTCATTCTTATGATTACAAATCTTTTTATTTTGAGTTCTCTTCTTAATTAATTGTTTTTTTTTGGCAATTTCATCCCCTATTATTTAATTTCATTAAATTTTCATATTATGTTTTATGCTTATTTCTTTACCATGCTCTTAAAATCTGGCTTGGAATCAACCCCCGTCATCTCCCGAGTCACATGTTGGGTCAAATGACTAGGGTTACAGGGGTCATTTGGATTTTTTTTATTGTGCATGAAGTAAAAATAATAATATTTTGATAAAACAATAATGGCAAAAAATAATCAATGAATTTTGACATGATTTTCCATTAGTTAATCACTTGATTTTTTTATTCAATTAAAAAGTAAAAATGGTATTTTGATAAAAAAATAATAGCGAAAAAAAATTTAATCATGATTCTCTTTCTTTTGATTGGTTTTTCTTTGTTTTGATTTTTTCTTTTTAGATTTTTTTTCAACTTCATCCCTTTCCATTTGATTTTTTATATATATTAGATATGGTACTCATGCTTTTGATTGTTGTTTTTTATCCTTTTCTTGATTTGTTTTTTTTTAATTGTCCCTTAGCATTTTATTTCATTTGTTTTTTTAAATCAAATTTTGGTTCTCATTTTTTAAAATCCTTTTATTTTATTTTTGGATTAAGCCCGTCATTATTTTCTTTTATTATTTTTTATATAAGATTTTATTGCATTGTTTTGATTACTGTTTGTTTCTTTTTAATTTTTTGACGGTTAAGAATTTTGTTCAAGAGGTTTTTGGTCTTTTGTATGGTCATCTCGGTCTCATCACCAGAGTTGCTGCTTTCAAAGATTAAAATGATTTAATTTTTATTTTTATATTTTATCATTTAATATTAGACTATTGTGTCTTGAATTTTATATTATTTTTCCTTTCCTTCGTTTAGGGTTATCTTTGACTGTGAGTTAATCAAGTTAACTCGGGTTTACTCAAATTATCACCATTTGAATATTTTTTTTATATTAGAAAAAAATTGACCCACGCGAGTTAGCTAAGTTAATTTAGATTTATTCAGGTTATTTCCGTTTGAATATTTTTTATGTTAAAAAAAATTAACTCGCCTTATGACATAACATAGATAAAAAAATTCTAGTGACAATCTAAACTTAATCATTAATATTATTTATATACGTTGCCCATGTATTTAATTATAAAATTTACATTGGTTTTTGTTTAGAATAAATTAATTTAAATAATTTTAAGTGTTTTCACCTCTTTACTTTTCTGAAAAATTACTTTGGATAATTTAAGACGAGAGATTTTAAATATAAAATGATTAAATGTCATGATAAAGAAACTACGGGACAAGGGTTCACTAAATAAACTGGATCGTGTTTATTAAGAAAAATCTGTCTTCATATTTCAAATATTAAACTTTTTAGTGTTGTGTTTACAGTTTCCACGTCCTTTTATTATTTTTATTATTTATATTGCATACTTTTTATTCTCCTTATATTTTAATATTTTATTTTTTAAACCATGATTTTGAAACTAGTATCTATAAAAATTACTCTAAATATCCTTTTTACTCTCGAGACTGATTTGATATATTGCTCTGCAGACACAGGATCACTGTAATCTAGGTCAACAAACATCATCTAGAGCCCTATTAAAAAAAGTTAATAATAATAATAATAATAATATTACATGTCATTTTCAACCATCTAACATCGAGGCACCTACCACCCATATCTAAACCCAAAAAGGAAATTATACAGTACCCCAACATTATTATTGTCATTTATTTGGACAACAAATATATATAAATCATTATTTTTCAATAGTGATCCTGCATTTTTTTATTTTTTTATTAAAATCTTATTTTTTTATAAAAAATAATTTATAAAAAATTAATTTGTAAACTTTTCTATATTTATTTATTATTAAAAAAAATTAATTAACTAAAAATAGTTTTTAATAAAATATTTAGTTTGGTTTTCATGGAAGTATTTCCTTTTTATTTTAGAAGAAAAAAACTTTTCAGAAATTATAAAAAATTTAAAAATATTATGTTATTGGCTGATTATATCAAATTTGATCATCAAACTTTTAGTTGCTGTATATTTTATTTTAATTTTTTTTAATTTTATTTTTTAAAATTTGATTTAATTTAATTTTTATATGGTTCTTATTTTAATGACTGTTATTTACTCTTTTTTTTATTTTTAATTTTGGGTCTTATTGTTATTTTTTTTTTTTGAAATAGTTTATTAAATAGATTTATTTTATTTGAAATAGTTTATGAAATAGTATTTTTTTAATTTTTTTATTTATTAGATTTGATTTCTATTATTTTGATTGTTGTTTTTTTTATTTAAAATAATTTATAAAATTATATATTTTTTAATTTTATTCTCATTCAACTTCTTAATTTGTAAGATTCGTTTTTTATTATTTTAATAAATATTAATAATTTATTTTTCAACTCATTTTCTATGATATAATTAAATTTTAAGTGTTTTCTAATTTATTTTTTGTGATATTACTAAATATTAGAAAATAATTTAATTTTTAAAAAATTATTTTTCAAAAAAAATTAGTTTCAGGAAATAAATGGGGATAAATCTTTGTACATTTAAAAAGATTTTAATTTCGACAGCTTTTTCTAATATCCCAATCGGAGATATATTTATTTATTATATTGTTTACTGTAAGGAGCAACGCGTCAGATGCATCTATCCATGACATAAAATTACTCCAATTAAATCTTAAGAGGAGAGAGGAGCTACTAATCAGCCAAAAAAGCTACGTCGCATCTCCCCTCCGTCATTATCCTCCCATCTTATTTTTTTCTTTTTTAATTTTTGTCTTAGTAAAATAAAATAAAAAAATAATAGAAAAAAAGAGCAGAAATTTAACAGGGAGAAAATGAGAGTGCTTTTGTGCGTGTGAAATCAAATCAATCTCTCAATCCATCGAGAAAGAGAGAGAAAGGGTGTCCGTGCGTGAGATTTAGAGAGAGAAAAACCGAAGAAAAAGGAAACCACCGAGACGAGAGAGAGAGAGAGCATTTCTCGAAGTGAAATCTGTGGTTTTGTTTTCAGTTCTGATGTTTGATTAATCAAGAACTAGTATTCTAAATGGAGATGATTTCTAGCCGTTGATGCTGCCTTTTCCAATCTGAGTATCAGATCGATTCTTCTTCTTTTCTTTTTCTTAATTATTTCTGCCAAACGAAGATTTAGCTTGAAATGAACGGAGGCGGCAGTGAGGAAGCTGCGGAGGCGGTGCCGGCAGCGCCGGTGCCGCTTGACTGGAAATTTGCCCAGGTTTTTGGAGAGCGAACGGCTGGTGAAGAAGTACAGGAAGGTACGATACGATCTGTGGTTAGGGTTTTGATTCTGCGTTGTTGGATTATTAATTGTTGATTGTGGATTTAACTGTCCTCTTTTTTGGTGTAATTAGTGTTCGTTTGTTTTTCTATTTTCGTGCGAGATTAATTTGGTTTCAGTTTGATGATTCGAATGTGCGTGTCATTGAATAGTGTCTGATTTGGTGTTTTTTTAGCATTATAAGTGTGGCTTTGAAGCAATGTAGGGCAAGTTTCAGAGCTGTTATGAGCATAATGATTAGTCATTAGGGAGGGATTTGCAGCTAAAATTAGAATGTTGTTGCATGGGGGTGTTACTGGTTTGATGATGGTCAAGCTGTGGTGGTTAACTGCATCGTTGTTGTGGATGATAGTATGGATGGTTAGCTGAATTGCTTAGTGATTGTAATACAAATTGATGATTGTGTGTTATGTTTGCAAACCTGCTACAGAGGGCATGTTGAGTCATGCATTAATCTTATAAACTTAGTTGCATACACGGAGTCTTGCAAGCTAGCAAGTTTGGGGATTTAAGTTATCTTTTGGAATATTTGTGAGAAAAAAAACTTATGGTTATCTTCATAACATTAGTTGGGTTTGATTGCATATCGTTCTGAGAAAGTGAGGATAGAGAAGCCAATAAAATAGAAGTGAACTGGCAATTGGAAGAATAAAATAGTAATTTTTAATGGCATGATACATGATCATTAGAAAACTTGCTGAATTAGTTATCTACAAGGGGTATGTACGGGAATGGATGAAAATAGGATTGGGGCTTGAGTTCAAATGATTTAAATAAACCTGCTAACTCAATATCATCGGTTTAAGAGACTGGACTTTTATTATAACTTTGAAAGTGCTTCTATGTGTTCTAAATTCATGGTTATCAGTCTCAAAATTTGCGGAAGTGTTGTACAGCTCATGAATACCAGGAAAACTGTCTATCCTAGCCAGTATTGTGATAACACATTGGAAAAGGCACTGGTGGGGAGGAGAGAGATTTTGGGGTCAATTCTCATTTTTGATAAATGAAATAGAAGTTTTATGTCAGATGATTTCATTTTAAATGGTCAATGCAAACCTGCTGTTGTGTAAATCTTTTAGATTTGGCTCTGATTCTGCGCCTACTGATTGACCTAGAATTGTAAACACTGAAACAATCATAGCAGAATGACTGAATGTTGTGGGCTTGTAATGGTTTAAGCCAGGACATGCTGTACTGAGCAGTCAGATTAGTGTCCCACTGTTTTGATAGTTGAGGTGGTAGTTAGGCACCAGGATTTTAAGCTTATCTATGAACACTATGCTTAATCGGGTTTTATGTGCTTGTGGTTGGTAATCAAGAACTAATAATTATTCCCCACAACTAAATATCCTTCCCAAGAGGATGAAACACATAAACCAAGTGGAAGTCAATTTTGGAAGACATTTTTATACATGAAACTTGTTTACTTAAAAATTTCCCTCAGAATTATTGCATCTCATCCTCACCTTCTTACTTCTTTTAGTTATGGAATTTTGTAGTCGATATCATATCTGCCATCGAATTTGATAGAACTGGTGACCATCTTGCTACTGGAGATCGTGGAGGTCGAGTGGTTTTATTTGAAAGAACCGACAAGAGAGATGTAAGAAAATATAGGCATATCTTTAAAGAGAATTTCTTTTCTTTTCCTCCCGCTGTAGTGAAATAGCTCTATGACATAAACTTACATTGTTTAGCATGGTGGAAGTCGGAGAGATCTAGAGAGGATGGATTTTCCAATTATCAGGCATCCTGAATTCCGTTACAAAACAGAGTTTCAGAGCCATGAACCTGAGGTACTTAATTTTTCCTTTTCAGGCTTTTTTTTTTCCTCCTAATCACTGGGTAATATTTTTGTTTGGGTATATTTGTTTAATTCTTTCCTGGGTTCAGGATTTGATAAGTATTCATTATTTTCCTCCATCTTAGTTTGATTATCTGAAGAGCTTGGAAATTGAGGAGAAGATCAACAAGATTAGATGGTGCCAAGCAGCTAATGGTGCCCTTTTTCTTCTGTCCACTAATGACAAAACAATCAAATTTTGGAAGGTAGGGTGGAACATTGTTGATTTTTTTTATATTTTTGCTATCAATTTTTAGCTGTACTATAGTAGGTGATTTTTATTCCTCTAGCTTTCTAGGTGGGTTTCATTCAAAGTTTCTAACCATTAGAATTGCTTTTAGCGTAAACTCTTAAGGTTCAGTCTATGTTTTAGTGGTTAAATTTTTTGCATCTTTGATAACTAATAGAACAACTTGACAAGTTGAAGAAATCTTGAAAACAATGGAATTTCCTAATCAGTGGGTGGATCAAATGTGCTTGCTCTAATGGTGGACAGGTCCATGAAAAGAAGGTCAAGAAAATATGTGACATGAATGTTGAACCTGCAAAAGCTGCTGGAAATGGTCCTGTTGTAGGTCCAAGCATACCAACAAGCTCCAAACCATATACTGCCAATGGAGGATGTTTGGATAAACCCTTGGGCTTGAGCAATGACTTTTCTTTCCCACTTGGGGGTGTCCCATCTCTACACTTACCCGTGGTAGTTGTTTTCACTCTAATATACTTGTTTGCTCGTGGAAATCATGATTTTGACAGCTAGAAATGCTTATTATAATATTCTCTACTTTTGTGATCTCTGGTTCTAACACCTCTTTCATTTTTCGTGATCCAGTTGACCAGTAGTGAAATCAGCCTTGTGCCTAGGTGTCGGAGAATATATGCTCATGCTCATGACTATCACATTAACTCCATTTCTAACAACAGGTGCATTCACTTATTTCATAGATGTATAACTCTCATTTTCACATGCCATGTCTTTAACATCTCTTGTCATTTTGATTACTCTTATCATTTCCTTTTAATTGAATTTTTTGATCTTGTAAAGACATGTGATATTGAAGAGCAACGTATATTATGGCACTTCTTCGAAGAAATGATTCTGCATTATTTTGATATTTTGGATAGTTATATTGTTGTCCATAATCAGAGCCGATTTGAAGTGAATGGGGGCCTTAGGCCAAATAGGACCTTTTAAAATATTTAAGAATTTTTTTTTAATGCATGTCTGACAAGTGGGGCCTTGGGAAATCTTCATTTTGTACTTGGGGCATTTTGTTTAGTTGGAGCAATCTTCATTTCGGAAAGCATAATTGAAAAATATATCTTATTGATTTAGTGGGGGCCATGGGCCATTGCCCTAGTGGCTCTTAGCTTAAGCTGATGCTGTCCATAATAGACGTTTTGAAATTTCCCGAATGTTTTCAAGCCTGAAAGCATGCTCTTTAACCATCAAAGTCATAACATTCTACATAATTGGTTATTCCTTTGTTTTCTTTTTTGCAGTGATGGTGAAACTTTTATATCTGCTGACGATCTGCGAATAAATCTTTGGAATTTGGAAATCAGCAATCAGAGTTTCAATATTGTTGATGTAAAGCCTGCAAACATGGAGGATCTGACTGGTTAGAATCACTGTATTTTGTATGAAAATTAAACATCCGAGTATTTATGATGTTATTGGTTTTACATGTTGTCTATGGTGTATTCTGGGCGGGTAGGTCTAGAAATATTCTCTTTGGAGTCTTATTAGCTTTTTATATGATCTTTCCTGTTGTGCAACTGCTGTTGTTTAGTTCTCTTATCCCCCTTTCTGCAAGTATGGGTGGTTTGGTGAGAGGCCAATTCTTCTGCTCTTGTTGTGCTTCTTATCCATATAGTATTTTGGATGATTAAAGCATTGTATTCATCTTGTAGATTTCAATATTGAAATCATGTGAATGTTCTGATTGCTATATCAAATTGTCATGTTATTCACACATTTGAATTTATGTATGCAGAGGTGATAACTTCAGCAGCATTTCATCCTACTCATTGCAATATTCTGGCATATAGTAGTTCAAGGGGCTCAATTCGTTTAGCTGACATGCGACAGTCAGCTCTATGTGATTCTCATAGCAAATTGTAAGTACTCTAGGTTTTTTGTCTGCATAGTTTTCTTTTGTTGAATTTTCATGTATTATCTAACATCATGGAGTTATGGATGTATCATGAGACGTTTTAGATCTCTTTTATTGATTTACTTGTTTGCCTTTTCTTTTGAATATATATGTTATGCTCTCTGGTGGCCCAGGTTTGAGGAGCAAGTGGTGCCTGGTTCAAGGTCCTTCTTCACAGAGATAATTGCCTCAATCTCAGATATTAAGTTTGCCAAGGATGGGAGATATATTCTTAGTCGTGATTACATGACTCTAAAGGTTCTTGTTTTTATGTTCGGTATTTATTTTTAAAATTTAAGCACACTATTTCAATTAGCACTTTGCTGTTTTTTCATAGCATATATTTTACCACCTAGTGCTGGATGATTTTCAAAAAAATCGACTTCTTTAAGTTAATCACTTAATCCAAGCTGCATTCTACAAAACCTAATTGTGTGTTTTTATTCTTAATGCTAATGGTGCATTTGGCATGCGGTTAAAAAAATACAGTTGAACTGACAAAGGAGTGATTTTTATTAGTAAATGTTTAAGGGTGTAAAAGTTAGTTGTATGGCAGTTAGTAGAAAGAAAGAGAAAGGATTAAAATATTGTTAGTAGTAAGAGAAAGATGATGAAAAAACTATTTGAATTTTATTTGGTTATTTGAAAAAGAAGAGAGGGAAAAACATATAATCCTTCGGTTTGGGATTGTTGTTAACCCTCTCAATACCCAACCAGCCCTAAGAGTGAAAAAGTATTGACAGAATAAAAAATCAATAATGATGGCCGCAGGCTAGATGCACAACTTGTTCTCCACAGGCAATTTATTTAAATTTCGTACCTTCCTTCTGCTTTAGTTCTGACCCACTGTGGTGTCTGTTCTCACGAAGTCTGGATTTCTTTGTTTTCAGTTGTGGGACATAAATATGGATTCTGGACCAGTTTCAACCTTCCAAGTTCATGAAAATCTTAGACCCAAGGTGACATGTTCTTCTTGAGTATCCCGTGTGCGATTTTAGATGGCATTTAGTAGAGATCATGAGATACTGATACAATGTGATTGTTTTGCTCTTTGCTATTGATCAGCTTTGTGATCTGTATGAAAACGATTCCATCTTTGACAAATTCGAGTGTTGTCTGAGTGGAGATGGACTTCGAGTGGCAACTGGTTCGTACAGGTGTGCTTCATATATTTGAATGATCCCTTAGTCTTTACCATTTTCCTGGTTAATTGGTTGCTTACACATTGCATGATATACTTTCTTTTACGTTTCAGCAACCTATTTCGTGTGTTTGGTTGTTCTGAAGGAAGCACAGAAGCAACAACATTGGAAGCCAGCAAGAATCCAATGAGGTACATTTGAGAGTGAATTAAGGAGACTTGTGTAACTGACAATACCAGAGGGTTTTGTTTCTCCAAATATTCAAAATTCTGTGTCAAACACTCTTGATGATCCTCCTCTCATATGTTAACTGAAATTGAACATGACCATATTGGTTTTCAGATGACTCTCGCTGGCTAAACTTTTATTTTATGTGGTTAATTTATGTCATGAACTGACAGGAAACAGCTTCAAACCCCGTCAAGGCCTTCTAGATCTCTGGGCACTCTTTCCCAAGGTTTTAGGCGAGGTCTGTATATGTTGGAGGAAGTTTACTTCTTTTCTCCTATTTCTCCTAATAATTTCATGTGGTCTCACTCATCTGACCTAACCCTAGAAAGAAAGTTAATGGATCTCATATTGTTTCCTGAGTTTTAACATCCTTTTTCCTTCATGACTTTAAAAAGGAGCTGATACGTCCGGAGTTGATTCAAATGGAAATGCATTTGATTTCACAATGAAGTTGTTGCATCTAGCGTGGCATCCAACTGAAAACTCACTTGCCTGTGCTGCTTCAAACAGCCTTTACATGTATTATGCATGAGGATGGTCCTGGATCATGTATTTTGGCTGGGCAAAGCTACAGGTGCTGCCTCTTGCAAAGGCTTTGCTGCTGCCTTCTCTCCCAACACATGTGGAAGCTTCACCATTTGATGGAGATTGATGTTGCTGTTGTTCAAGTATCAAGGACGTACTGAGACTTCTGCTCCCAGGCAGGCATGCGTCACTAATTATATTCTTTCACAAGGAGAGATGCAGTTCAATCCTTATATATATAGATGTTTTTTGTTTTGTTTTTTTTTTTTCCTGGTTTAGGTCAAAGGAAATGCAATCTTAAACAAATGTTTCTACATAGTGCTGCAGTGCCGCAAGGTTTTGGACCTATAGGGTCTTTAAATCCCATCTGGGCAAAGGAGCTGTTAGGTTGAATCAATTCTCATTGATAAATTGGGCGTCAGGCTTGTGAAAATTTTGTACCACTAGAACTTAGAACTCCAGGCTTGTGAAAATTCCATCATGATTATTGTTATCCCATAATTCTAACCATTCTTTCTCCTTCACAGAGTTTGCTGATTTTTTTGGTCGTTGCAAAATAGTATTTCGTTGGGGGAGAGGACAAAAGGTCTCGTGCGGATCATTCTCCACTTCGTGGTTCGTTTATGGTCGAGGTCACCCTGCACGTTAAATTCCCACTAACTGAAGCATGACCCCTCTCTTTTCTAGGGTTTCTGAACCGCTTCTTCCTTGCTTGCCTGAAAGATACGTTTCGTAAGCAACGGATCAGGCGTGCTTTGGTTAATTCAGGAAACGAGTCCGTTAGTCAGAAGGACTAAATAATGCTGTTATCGTCGTTATGATTCATTTGTGATTAAGAATCTATGCTGCATGATGCATGCTGTTTTTGTTTTTGTATGGACGGTATTAATTATAACCATTTTCTATCTCGTTACGACAAAGATGATAAATAAGCAAAAATATAAATATATAAAAATAACATTAAGATAACTTTCCTTTTCAATAGTAGAATTCTTCTACATCTGCTCTGAAAGTGAAAGCGTGAGACGCGTTGCTTGGGTTTTTATCGGGCACGAGTCTGGCACTCTCTTTTAGGTGTGAATAAGAAAGTGTCAAAGCTCTACTGTATATAGATATTGCCCTCGCATTTTTCCTTTTCCTTTTCCACTGAAAAATTAAAAAAAAATGTTCATTTATTGAAAACAATGTTAATAGCCTCTAAAATGTGTTTTTCAAACTCAGTATAAATTTAAAAGATTAAAAAAATTAGATTTTTAGTTTACTCAGTATAAATTTAAAAGATTAAAAAAAATTAGATTTTTAGTTTTTTTAATTTTAATGGAGCATTTAAATAGAAAGTTCTGGGTGAATGACGTCATATGCCCTATATTATTATTATTATTATTTTTCTAAATTGAAGGAACAACACCTTGTCCGCTGGAAAGATGAGGCATCATCCATTAATATATTTTCTGATTATTTTTAATGATTAAAAAATCAAAGTACATTTTGGTACTCCTAAAGCCTAATTTTTTCTACATGTTTTCATCTCAAAACATAAAAAATATTAGAAGAATCTCAATAACCCTATATCAATCTCTAAACACCCTTTACTCACTCAAATTATTTTTTAAAAATTTAAAATTTCTTAATTTTTTTTACTTTTTAATTCAGTACATTGAAATAATTAAAAAAACATTAATTTAATAAAAAAAAATATAATTTTTAAACGACGGAATTATCAACACTGATTGTTTTCTATATTTTAAGAGATTAATTTACCCTCGTGAACCTTTCCAAACAATGCCTGCACTTTCTGGGGTCACTTACGTAATTCCCTCCCACCACTTGAAAAATCCAGGTCCCGCACGGACAATTAGGAAAAGGCAGTCCGAGTCCGACTAGGAGAAAGGAAAGAAACTAGGGCACGCAAAAAATCAATTTGGATTCATGAACGGGTATCGACGGTCGTTAGACCGTTTAGACCCTTCTATAAATCCAAAAACCTCTCCATCATTTCAATTCAATTTCTCACCCCCAAACCTCTTCCCTCTTCATTTCACCCTCTCCCCCCTCTTTTTGAACAAATTTATCCTTTATTCCTAGAAATTAAATTAAGAGATGGAGCGGGAAGATCAAGTGTCGATCATCATAGATGATGGCGGAGAAATCCTGGACGCTGGTTCTGAAACCGACTCCTCCTCCTCGTCGTCGTCTTCTGTTCCGAAGCCTGATTGTTTTGATGCATTCACTCGAAATGGAATGATGAGGATCGGAGAAGAAAGCAAGGAACACAGAGTGATAAAGAATCAATTCCTTACAGGAATGAATCAGCTTGCTGAGGACACAAGTGTAGTGACCATACACAAGAATATCTGCTCTACTATGTATATGAAAGCTCGATTCAAAGCTTTCAAGAGCTGTGTAGATGCGGTCCGTGAACGCCGTGGAGATAGAAATGTTAAGCACGGCTGGTATGGTGCTTCAAAACAGGAAATTCTTCATATCATTTCTTTTGGATTTAGTCGTTGCAATGGTCAATCGCATGGCGTTGGTGTTTATTTGTCTACTTCAAAGTTTATCCTTGAAACGTAAGTTCCTTTTCTTTCCTTTTTCTTTTTTTTTTTACTTAGAAATTAAATCAAGTCAAATTACCATATAATTTGTTACTCACAGGTTTCCGTCTACGACTGAGGATGAAAATGGGTTAAGGCATATGATGTTTTGTTATGTTGAGATGGGGAAAATGGAACTGATTCGGGCGGGTTCGAAGCAAATATATCCAAGTTCGGAGGAGTTCGATTCGGGCGTTGACAATCTCGAAGAACCTAGTAGATTGGTTGTGTGGAGTGCTTACATGAATTCTTTTATCCTTCCTCTTTACATTGTAAGTTTTAAGGCACCGTCATTCAGTATTGGTTCCTTAAGAGGGCAGATTAATGAAGTACGAACCGGTGGAGAGAAGTTGAGTATTGCTGTTTTGCTTCCTATGCTGGTGAAGGTTTTTGGTCCTGCCAAGGGGGATATGATTTCCAAAAGCCTTGACGATCATAGGAAATGTAAGATTAACCGAGACCAAATGATCCAGAGTTTGAAACGGATCATTGGGAACGATCGGATGTTGATCTCAGTCATTAAAGCCAGTAGAGGCAACCTTGCGGTGAGAGCACCAAACAGGGAGGGCGGGTCTGGAGGCAACAACTAATACAAGAAGATGGAATTGTTCTAGGATATGATGTTATACTTGATAGTTCTGTAATTAGGGTTTACAATCACTTCATTTTCAAACAAGAAAACAGAACATGAAGAATGTACTTTTTTCTGAAAAGAAGGAAGAGGATCTGTTTCGTTGGGATGGCATTTTATCATCTTTGTGTTCCGAATCCAGACAAAGAAACACCAACTATGAAGCGACTTTCTTAGAAAGAGACAATGATGCGAAATTCATGATCATATATGGGTACGCAGTCCTGAGATTTAATTTTAGAAATTTGAAATAGATATTAGAGTGCAGCACAATGAAAATCTGTTTCAAGACAATATTATTATTAAAATAAAATAAAATAAAATGAGCCACTAAACTAGTTAATTTTGATAAATTAAATTAAATTAGTTTAAGAACTGAAAAATATAAAAGTTATTTTTATATATTAAAACTAAAAAAAATTCAAAAATAATATTTATTAATGATTACTGAAATTTTAATTATATAAATTTAAATAGATCTTGAAAAATAAATTTTAATGAAATTTTTATATATTAATGATTACTGAAATTTTAATTATATAAGTTTAAATATTTTAATTATATAAGTTTAAATAGATTTTAAAAAATAAATTTTTATGAAATTTTTATATGAAAATTTATATGAGATCCATTCAAAACTGATTCAAGAACCTTAAATTAAAAAGTTTATATAGCTTTATTCAAATAAGTTTTGGATCTTAACTCAAAAATAAACTTTTCGAACCTTAAATTAAAAGGTTTATATAGCTTTATTCAAATAAGTTTTGGATCTTAACTCAAAAATAAACTTTTAATTAAGTTCAAACATTAAAAAAAAAATTAAAATATCATTAAAAAACATTAACTCTTCTTTTAAATAAAGAATGAAACATTAATGAATCGTTATCACTTTTAAAAATTATATTTTAGCTTATTAATTTTTTTTATGAAACTAGAAATTTTTTAAAATAAGCTGTTATATCTTTTTAGAAAAAAATATTTCTTAAATAAAAAACTTATAGGTAAAAAAAAATAACAAATTTTATATATTCTTTTAAAAAAAAGATCTTTATCAAATAGAAAATTCATAGATAAAAAAAATAAATAATAAAATTTATATAGACTATTCCAATCTATATTGCAATTCCTTTTTGAATTTTAATTCATTTGAAAATTTATTTCAATATAGAAAAATATATCTAAATTTTTTTAATAAAATTTTAGCTTGATTCAATAATTGAATTTAAAATTATATTTAATAATAAAAAATTAAATAATAAAATATTTTATACTAAAATTTAAATTTAACCTCACTTGAAATTGTATAACAAGGCTGGACAGTAGTACCAGAAAGAGGATTTGTTTCTTTATATTGTTGTTCAAGTGCCAACTTGTCCATGTTAAGTGTATCGTTCTCCCTTTAATTGATGGCCAGTCAACATTAAGCTAAAGATCAAGCGTAATGAATTTCTAGTTTCAAAGGCTCAAGTGGTTTAAATTATATGACATCCCATTTCTTCTTGATGCTGAAGTTTCTCGAGCGGTAATGAATTCCAACCTTTTGGCTCAAACACATGTGCTGCTGCATATCCACCCCTGCTGCTAAATGACTTGTTTCTGAATATGTTGCTTATATACTTCATAGAACAGCTGCTTCTATTTTCTTTCACTGTTCTGCTATTTCAATTTCGTCATTTACTTTATTCAAGTCACTGATGCTATCATAGATCATTGGTGCATTGAGTTTTTCTTTATTCTTTTTGGAAAAGATTCATCTTGGAATGATTTGTGGTGGCAGCAAGGAAGCTGTTTTGGCAGCTCCAATGGGGGCACTGCTGCTACTAGACTGCAAGTTTGCACTAGTATTTGGTTAGCGAACAGTCTGTGAAGAAGTACATGAAGGTACAATCTGTGTTTTTGTTGTTGTTAGTTGATTAACGCTTCTGTTTTCATTCGTGGATACACCTGTTTATTTTGTTCTAGACTAGATTTCAGTCACGTGTCAAACAGAAGAAATACTGATAGATGTGAGGGTAGTGGGGGTTTCATTTGAATTAGAATCAGTGTTTATTTTATTTAGTGTTTCAGTTTGTCAACTCTCAAAGTGCAATTGAAGCAATGTTGGTTAAGTTTTTGAGTCATTATACGGGGGAGATTGCTATTATTGCTTGCTTTACTGGTTTGATGACTTTCTTGCCATGACAGTCAGCTGTTTCATGTTTGATTGGCAATATTATGGGTTCTGGATCATGTTTGCTCTTGCAAAACTGCAATGTGCAGTAAATGGGAAATATGGAGAGTGGATTTGCTAGATCTTTTTGGGGCCTAATCCTACCTCTTCCTACATTTACTGACATATTCTTTACCTAGGGCTATCTCATTACTAAAAGACTAATCTCTTTATCTATTTCCGGATAATAAATCCTTCACTGCATATCTAATTTCTTTACCTTATTATGGGGCATTAGTCTCTTCATCAGAAAATTCATTAACCTAATTATTTGTTTGGGGTTTGAGTTGAAATTATAGTTATTAAATCTGGATCAACCTAGCTGATTGACTCAAAACCCAATCAATTTTATAGTGAAATTGATCTAAATAAAATAAAAAATCATTTAATATAAAAATTTACCTAAACTTGATTGATTCAGACTGACCCAGCTCCACTTAAATGAGACCCAGGTTTTTTTTATTTAAACTTATCTTGAAGGTTCGCATATAGCATGCCATTCTACTCTGACAATAAATACATGTCCGTACTTTACGAAGCGCTTTGCATGTGTCTCAAAACTGTCATCACTCACATGTTACATTGGAAATGATATTTGTTTTCTTTTCTTGCCTTCCCATTCCTTCAACTCCCTCGGAGTGAGTACTATAAAAAAAAATAACTTGAAATATCTTTTTATTTATTTTGGGTAACGTGTCTTAAAAATTATGAACAATGAGTAATTTTTCAAGTACTTCAGGTATTATTAAAAGAATTCAATGCTACTTGAATTATATTATATATTATTATTTTTTTTACTTAATCCAGGCTAGTCAAAACTTTTTCTGAGACTAATTTTAATTAATTATTTGTAATTTCTTTAATATTTAGGTAAAAAATTAATGAGATGGTGATGGCAAATCAGGTTTCCTCCAAGTGTTCTGATTGGATAATATAAACTCGAGTAAAAGAAAAAAAAATCAGACTTGAATAAATGGAAAAAAAATTACGAATAGTTCAGATAATTTCCTAAAATAGCTTAATCTTTTTTTTTACTTGAATTATTCAGATAAAAAGCTTCCCCTTCCATCAGCCGCTATAGGCGCCAAGTCTATTGTATTTTACATGGCCGGCTATCGCCTTTCATCTTCTTCTCTTATGCTTTAATTTAAAAAATGCTAGATAAATATTTTATTTTAAAAAATATTAAAAAAATATTTTAATTTATTATATATATATATATATTATGTTTCAAAAATAATTATTTTTTAATATCGGATATGAAATATTTTTATATAGATTTTTAAATGAGATAAAAAAATTTATTTAAATATTTTTAACTTAAAAATATAACATAATATCTTTTTAATATAAAATTTGAAACTCTTTAATATATATACTTTATATTCACAAGAAATAAATTATTTTTTCAATGTGAGATTTGAAACGTTTTAATATATATATATATATATATATATATATATATTCTATATTCATAAGAAAAAATTATATTTTTTTAATGTGGGATAATTTTTTTAATTTAAATACTTTAACTTAAAAAGATAACATAGTATCTTTTTAATGTATGATAAAATACTTTTTAAAATATTCTTTTAAACTTTATTATCTATAATATAAAATTTTCTAGTTATTTACATGTATGGTCTATATTTATATAAGTTATTTTTTAATTTTTTAATATGAAATATTAAAATTTTAAATATTTTTTTTAAAAAAAATTTCCAGATTAATCCTATTGTTGATAACTACGGTTCAAATGACTTGAATATGTCCTTGCTTAAATCCACAGCTTTAATGTATACAATTGTTTTTTTTTTTTATTTACGTGGGGGTGTCTGAGCCAGCTTGCGCGCACCACGACTAATTCCCACGGCTCACTGAATATCCTACAAACTCAGTAGGCATGTAAGGCACCGTGGAGGTGACAGGCGTGCACGTCAGGACTCGAATTCAGATACAGTGAAAAAAGACAAGCCCCTTTCACCATTAAATCAAGCACTTGAGTGACAGGCATGCACGTCAGGACTCGAATTCAGATGCAATGAAAAAAAACAAACCTCTTTCGTCATTAGATAAAGCACTGAAATACAACGTATACAACTTTGACATTACATGTGGTCTGATATTTGACATGGTTATAAGGATGACCCATTTTGGCTACAAGAACGGACTGGAGGCAGCAGAGGGATTTTGGGTTCAAATCCTGTTGTTGATGGATAAGCACAACAAATGATAATATTGTAAGTTGTCAAGAAATGTGGAAACGTACCTGATGCACTGTAAATTTGGTGCTCTTGGTTCGATGCAGGGATATTTTTTAAAAAATAAAAAATAAAATAAATACTCAACTAATTTACATCAACTTACATGGATTTTCAAGAACATGAAGTAAAGTTTCCAGGATTTCTAGTTTCATTGTAAATGATACTAAAAATAGCCAAGTGGAAAACTGATTTATAAATTGCTTTTGATATATGTATATGGAGGGAGCTTGAGATTGAAGATATCCAAACTCAAGTTATTAAATTTTATGTAGCTTTGTTATTGGACTTTAATTTATATTTTTTTCATTAAATTTTTATTAGTCAAAAAGTTTTAATGAAAATTTGATTTTAATTAGAATTTGACTATTTATTTGTAATTTTTGACATTACAAGGAGTTTATTATAAGTTAAATAAAATATGTAAATTGAAAACTTTCTGACCTCCATTCTTTATCCTTTCCTGCTCAAGTTATTATCTTTTTAGCTTTTTAGTTTTTTCTTTCAAATTTACCAAGCAAGCATTACCAAAGTTAGGTTAAAAGGTATCAATTGAGCTTTTCACAAAATTTAAAACCAAGAAGATCGAAGAAAAATTTAATGTGCTAAATTAAAATGTTAAGGTTAAAAGGTTGCAACTTTGCTA